TGTATAACCTGCCCAAATTGAAACAGGAGGACATAGAAAATCTAAACAGATCAATTTCAAGCAATGAAATGGAAGACACCAACAAAAGCCTACTAACGGGCTGGGGATATGGCTCAAGTGGTAGCACGCTTGCCTAGCACGCGTGAGGCACTGGGTTTGATTCTCGGCACCACATAAAAAAAACAAAAAACAAACAAACAACAACAACAACAAAAAAACCCCAAAACCAAAATAAAGATATTGTGTCTACCTAAAAAAATCTAAGAAATAAAAAAAATAAATAAAAGCCTACAAACATGCGGATGGGGTTGTAGCTCAGTGGCAAAGCGCTTGTCTAGCATGTGTGAGGTACTGGGTTCAATCCTTAGCACCACATAAAAATAAATAAAGGCATGCTGTCCATCTACAACCACACACACAAAAAAAGTAAATAAATAAAAATAAAATAAAAAGCTTACTAACAAAGAAAAGTCCAAGACTAGATGGATTCTCAGCTGAGTTCTACTGGACATTCAAAGAAGAACAAACACCAATCTTTCTCAAATTATTCCATGAATGAGAAAAGGAGGGAACCCTTCTCCAAACTAATTCTATGAACCCAGTATCACCCCGATACCAAAACCAGACAAAGACACACCAAAGAAGGAAAACAAAACTTCAGAACAATATCCCTGATGATCATAGATGCAAAAATTCTTAATAAAATAATGGCAAATTACATACAAAAACATATTAAAAAATAGTGCACCAGGACCAAGTAGGCTTCATCCCAGAAATTCAAGGTTGGTTCAACATATGGAAATCAATAAACATAATTCATCCCATCAATAGATTTAAAGACTAGATTATCTCAATAAATACAGAAAAAAGCATTTGAGAAAATACAGCATCCATTCATGTTCAAAACACCAGAAAAACTAAGGATAGTAGGAATATACCTCAACATTGTGAAAACTGTATATGCTAAACCCAAGGCCAACATCATTCTAAATTGAGAAAAATTGAGAACATTCTTTCTAAAAACTGAAACAAGACAAGGATGCCCTTTTTCACCACTTCTATTCAACTTAGTCCTTGAAACTCTAGCCAGAAGAAATTAAAGGAATACTAATTGAAAAGGAGAACTCAAACTATCCTTATTTGCTGATGACATGATTCTATATTTAGAAGACCCAAAAAACTCCACCAGAAAACTTCTAGAACTCATAAATGAATTCAGCAAAGTAGCAGGATAAAAATTAACACCCATAAATCAACTGCATTCCTATACATCAGTGAGGAATCAATAGAAAGAGAAATTAGAAAAACTATCCCATTCACAATAGCCTTGGGAAAAAAAATTGAGAATCAATCTAAAAAAAGATGTCAAAGACCTCTAAAATGAAAACTACAGAACATTAAAGTAAGAAATTGAAGAACTTTGAAGATGAATCCATAGTCCTGGATAGGCAGACTTAATATTGTCAAAATGACCATACTAACAAAAGTGGTGTACATATTTAATGCAATTCCTATTAATATTCCAATGACATTCTTCATAGAAATAGAAAAGGCAGTCATAAAATTCATTTGGAAAAATAAGAGACCCAGAATACCCAAAGCAATCCCTAGTGAGAAAAAATGAAATGGAGGCATCACAATACCAGACATTAAATTATACTACAGAGATAGAAAAACAAAAATGAACGACTTGGTAAAAACAAACAAGCAACAACAACAACAACAAAATTGAATGGTATTTGCACCAAAACAGACATGAAGACCAAAAGTACAGAATAGAAGACACAGAGATAAACCCACATAAATACTGTTATGTCATACTAGACAAAGGTGCCATAAACATACATTGGAGAAAGGAAAGCCTCTTCAGCAAATGGTGCTGGGGAGACTGGAAATCCACATGCAGCAAAATGTATTTATACCCCTATCTCTCACCTTGCACAAAACTCAACTCAAAAGTAGTCCAAGGACCTGGGCATTACCCTGTGCTTACTAGAAGAAAAAATATGCCCAAATAATCCATCATGTTGGCTCTGGAACCAAATTTCTCAACAAGACTCCTAAAGCACAAGAAGTAAAATCAAGAATTAATAAATGGGATGGTATAAAACTAAAAAGCTTCTTCACAGCAAAGAAAATAATGAAGAATGTGAAGAAAGAGCCTACAGAATGGAAGAAAATCTTTGCCACATGTACCTCAGACAGAGCATTAATCTCCAGAATATATAAAGAACTCAAAAAACTTACTACTACTACTACTAATAATAATAATGTAACAACTCAATAAATAAATGGGAAAGGAACTGAACGAACACTTCACAGAAGAAGAAATACAATCAATTAACAAACATAAAAAAATGTTCAACATCTCTAGCATTTAGAGAAATGCAAATCAAAACTATACTGAGATTCTCATTCTAGTCAGAATGGCAATTATCAAGAACACAAGTAATAATAAATGTTGGCAATGATGTGGGGGAAAAGGTACACTCATACATTGCTGGTGGGACTGTTAATTGGTGTAACCACTCTGGAAAGCAGTATGGAGATTCCTCAGAAAACCTGGAATGGAACCATATTTGACCCAGTTATCCCACTCCTTGGTATGTACCCCAAAAACTTAAAATCAGCATACTACTGGGGCTAGGGTTGTAGCTCAGTGGTAGAGCGCTTGCCTTGCATGTATGAGGCACCGAGTTTGATCCTCAGCACCACATAAAACATAAATAACAAAATAAATGCATTATGTCTATCTACAACTAAGTTTTTTTTTTAAAAAAATCAGCATATTACCATAATACAGCTACATCAATATTTACAGCAGCTCAATTCACTGTAGCTAAGCTATGGAACCAACCTAGGCCCCATCAATAGATGAATGGATAAAGAAAATGTTATATACACAATAGAATATTACTCAGCCATAAAGAAGAATGAAATTATGGCATTTGCTGGTAAATGAACTGGAGATTATCATGCTAAGTGAAATAAGCCAATCCCACCAAAACCAAAAGCCAAACATTCTCTCTGATATGTGATGCTAACACACAATAAGACGGGGTAAGGGGAAGAAAAGAATAGAAGTTCATAGGATTAGACAAAGGGGAATGAAGGGAAAGGAAGGGAGATGCAAATAGGGAAGACAGTAGAATGAATCAGACTCCTGTGTTCATATATAAATACAAGACCAGTGTAACTCAACATTGGGTACAACCACAAGAATGGGAAATTATACTCCAGGTATAATATGTCAAAATATACTTTATTGTCATGTATATCTAAAAAGAATTAAAAATTTTTAAAAAGAGTCAATAGATTCTATTTTACTTTTTATGTTAGTATTGATGGATGGGTTTATTCATTTAACTATCTAGCGTTTTAATAAACTACTACTCTAATATAAAAATAGAATATATATTTTCCAAATTATTCTATTAAAATATTTGATTAAAAATTCTTAAGAGTGGCAAAATTTGGGGAACAGGTGAGAAAATCACTAAGAAAAGACACAAAATAAAAGTACAAAAAGAAATAATATAAATGAAATTAAGTATGTCAGTTATCAAGACATATAATATTAAAGGCCAAATATTATAAGGTTAGATTAGCCATATGCTATTTATAAGAGAAATATAAATATTCAAAATAAAGGGATAAATATGTCCCCCAAATTAAGTATGTTAAAAATATCAATATAAAGTAAAATTTCAAGGCATGAGGCATTAAATGGGGCAAGCATACAAATGAGAATGAAGTTATAAAAGAATAAACTTTTTTTGTAAATTAATTTAGCATTGACATGCTCTGTCTTTAACAGATGAACTATACAAAAAGAATAACAATACAAATAATATAAATGAAAAGTCTGACTTAATGATGAAGGTAACAAATAGAATGTCCACATAAAAAAGATATTTACGAAAAATTTACAAAAATACATGACATAATTAGACCAAGAAAAAACATCAATAAAATGTTTTCTAAAACTTGAAATCCAAAGAACTTTTGAATCTTATTGAATTAATACACTAGAAATAAACAAACTCGAAATAAACACTCCTGAACAATCTTGGATCAAAAAAAAATCAGTTTCAATCACAAATTAGAAAATAATAATTTATAAAATCTGCACATGACAAAACATGTACTGTTACATACAAGCCTGATTTGTTTCTCATGGTAGATTTCTAGATGTGGAGCAGAAGTGAAAGTGACTGGAACAAAGTCTAGGAACGTTTTGGCTAAGGATTTACACGGTGATCAATGTGATTGATCCCCATGTGGTAGCAAGAATTGAGGCAAAGCCAAGAGATAAATACCAAAGTACCAATTCATTTGGAAAAAAAACAAGAATTGATCACATAGTAGTGAAGGGACATCAATCCAGAAATTTAGAGCAGTTAATTAACTAAAAGAAATATATAAATAGTACTTGATTTTCACACCAATAAAGTAAAAATCAGTTCCTCTGTGTAATAACCAGATTAGCAATAACTATTAGCCAACGATTAAAAAGGAGGTTCTAACTACTTAACATCTTAGTAGTTTGATCAAACCAACCAGAAGGGATAGCTTCATGGCATATTTTCATAAATATATGCAAATCTGAAACAGAATATCCATATAATTCACGTAACTATATGAACATGAGCTAGGAGAAGCTTCTTGTTTATCTTCTTGTTTTGTCTTATCATTCCTTTAAGGCATATCTTTATGTCAGAGGTTTCATTCATACATTGACAAAGAAATATGAGCATATTTAAGTTGCTTTATACTATAATTCTGAAATTACAGCAAAGAATTTTATGTTTCTTTGATTATCTTTGGACTTGATCTTAAACGGCTAAAAATCTGTTCAATTATAATAAGCATAAAAAGTTTTCAGAGAACTAAACGGTTTAAGGAAAAATATCTTAGTGGAATTTTTTTTTTTCTGGTAAATAATGTTTCAACTCTTCAAAACAAGAGAAAACTTTTGGTTTAATGATAATAAAACTAACCTGTAATTTTTGCTGCCTTTTCTTCTTGGTTCACTCGGTTCTCATCATCATCTTCATTATCTTCTTCAAAGTCATCCAAATTGCCAATGTCAGCTTGCTTCATACTCATCAAACTAGCCAAACTTTGCATGTCTTCATCACTACATTAATGATTAAAGACATAATCAAATTATAATACAGTTAATTTAAATGACATTGCTTGAAAAAGTATTATTTCTTAAGACATACAGGCTGAGCATCCTTTATCTGAAAATTCAAAATCCAAATGTTTCCAAGTCCCAAACTTTTGAAGCCACTGAAAGAGTGCCACAAGAGAAAAATTGCATACCCAAGTTCACATGATAGGTTGTAGTGAAACTTCAGGTGCACTAAAAAACTGTATAAAATTACCTTCAGGCATATAAGGTGTATAAGGTGTCTATGAAACAAACAAATTTAGTGTTTAGACTTGGTCCCATCCCCAAGATGCCTCATTGTGTACATGTAAATATTCCAATATCTAAAAAAATCTGAAATCTGAAACACTTCTGGTCCTAAGCATTAGGATAAGGGATATCAATCTATAATAGTAATATATTCTTTATTTCTGTAAATCTGCAAATAAGTCTTTTTAAACACTTGTATAAGAAAATTGAATAATCTAAGTAGTCCTATTCATTAATTTTTAAATAGCATGTTTAATGAGTAAAAAGAGAGGAAAATTAAAAACTAACCTATCAGGAGTTAATTTAAATCTGTATGCTATTCATAAAGCAATAGGATAAGTCAGGTGCAGTGGTGCACAACTATAATCCCAGCAATTTGGGAGGCTGAGACAGGAAGATTGCAAGTTCCAAAGCAGCCTCAGCAATTTAGTGAGGCATTCAGCAACTTAAAACCCTGTCTCAAAATAAAAAATTGAAGGGACTGGGATATAGATCAGTGGTAAAGAACCCCTGAGTTCAATCTCCAGCATCAAAAATCAATCAATCAATCAATCAATCAATCAATCAATAGTATAGTTGCATATCAGATGACATACAGACTCAAAAATATTAAAAATTTTTAATTTCAAAAGATATCATTCCTAAAAAGTTAATTTGCTTAATATTTTCACTTTAATTTACTTATATTTTAACCCTGAACATTTTTCGTTGGGCAAGGTAAGTAAGTATGGAAGAAGTAGATAGAAAGAAGATTATCATCAAACAGGGACGAGAGGTGGGAGGGAATAGGAGAGAGAGGGGGAATTGCACGGAAGAGGAAAGGAGACCCGCAATGTTATACAAAAATACATAAAAGAGGATGTGAGGCGAAGGGAAGGAAAAAAAATAAATATAAAAATAAGAGAGAGTGAGAGAAGTGAGTTATGGTAGTTGGGGTAGAGGGAGGGGAGGGGAGGGGAGGGGAGGGGGGGATAGGAAGGGGATAGGAAGGGCAGCAGAATACAACAGACACTTGTTTGGCAGTATGTATAACCGTGGCTGTGTAATCAACGTGATTCTGCAATCTGTAAACGGGGGAATAATAAGAATTCATACCCCATTTGAAACAAATGTATGATATATGATGTGTCTAGATCAATGTAATGTTTTGAGCAACCAATAAATTTCTAAAAAAAAAAAAAAGAATCCTTTAGGTATTAAAGGGCATGCAGTCATTAGAAATATAAGGGTGATAAATGAAATTGGGAAGAGAAAATAAGTTACATTGTATATTATTACAAATATTATTGGAATGATTAAGATCTTTATAATCTGAATCATAAAACATAGTCATTAAATTTAATGGAAATAATCTTAAAAAAAAAAAAAGAAGTAGGTAAAGAAGAAATTCAGGGATTTCTGAGAGTCTCCATTCAATTCAAATTGAGACATTTGATATAGCTGAATTTCTTCTCACCCAGATTACTGTGAATGGTTTTGAATCCTTCCAATGGAAGGAAGTCCACCCTCAAAGGATCTGCTCTGAATTTGTTTCTCTCTTCTTTCTATGTTTCCTTTCCTTTCTTTTTGGCTTAAACTTCAGGATAAGATATTTTTAATATCACTGTATTTTCGCCTACAGTTTAAGGTCCTGAGATGAAAGACTAAGATGTTTTCATTCTGGACTAACCACACTCACTTAGAACCTAACTTCTCTGAGAGGAGGCTTATTGTTGTTATCTGCCAAGTTATTTGCTACCATGTAGACAAGTGTCAATCATCTCATTTTGAGCAATAAACAGAATCCATTCTTATCATTCAAGTAGACATGGCCAATTAACTATAATTGTGATTACTAAACCACATTCCACTAGGTCAGATATGTTCAGAACTGTGATTTTGGATTGGATTGGATTGAAACGTTCATAGCTACCTTTTCCCCTCACCTTTAATAGGAAATTCTAAGAATAGCTTTTCCATTTATCTCATTCCTTCATCTTTTACTTCAAGGAGGTACAAACTCTTTCATTAAACCAATAGCATGCATTTACTCTAACTGTATGCAATAACCAGAGTGAACTGATACTTTTCCCCTCCTGTTCTATGTTTTAATCTAATCAGAATTTTACTCTTTTAAGAGACTAGACTCAAGTCTAGAAATCTGTGCAATGCTTAATCAGTGTTTAAAAAGTAATTTTTGATTTTTATTTTTTGAGACAAGGTCTTGCTTTTGTTGCCTGGGTTGGTCTTGAAATCCTAGGCTAAGCAATCCTCCCTCCTCAGCATCCTGAGTAATGGGGATACAGGTGCACACCACTGCTTTACATAGAAGTGATTTTTTAAAAGGATAATAATCATGGTAAATTGTTTATCTGCATATACTTTTCTAAGCAATTTTTGGAAGGTTGAGCCAAGAAACATGAATTGGCAAAAAGTTTCCTTAATTCTTTCATCCCTTTTATCCTAAACTTTTTATTTAGGGTTCCTCTCACTACTTAGTTGCATCAAGTAGCTCTACAAATTTATCTGTCTGCACTTTAGACTACAAGCTGCTACAATGAAGATAAACACCTATGATACCCTATAATATCCAATTCAAAATTTGAAATCAGTTATTATATATAGTTTTATACTATAGTTCATTTTTTGGAATCAAAAGAGGCTATTTATAAATAACAAGGAGTTTATTTAACTCAGTCTATGAAATAAAGAATGATGGCTATGTTATATGATGTTCAACTAATACTAGTCTGCTGAGCCAAAAGTTCTTTACTTGTGGTGTCTTGAAACACACTGTGAATGAAGCAGCTTATTTGACAAAAGAAACTTACGTGGCTTTTCCTTCCCGAAGGAAAATGCAAGATAATGAAAACTGGAGAGTGGCAGATACAACTTTTTTAGACAATGGCTTGAATTTTAACTTGACATCTGTCTGAGTTGGCATAGGGCTTGCATACTGTTTCATATTGATGCTGCTAGTAGCAAGAGCTTTCCTTCTACCAGAAGGGGATTCCTAGAAGACACAAACACACACACACATAAATAAATAAATAAACAAACAAATGAATAAATAAATACATTTTTAAAGATTATGTATTTTGGAGTTATCTGATAGCCAAACAATAAATTAAAAAAAAAAAAGCATTTATTTTTTACTTTTAAGTAGACACACAAATTTCATTTTCATGTGGTGCTGAGGATCGAACCCAGTGCCTCATGCATGCTCGGCAAGCGCTCTACCACTGAGCCAAAACCCCAGCCCCCAAATAATAAAAGTTAATAACAGCTGAGAACTTCCTTCTCCAATTAACTCCTATAACATAGTAATAAATAAAATCATGATGAGGTTTCATCATAGCTTTTATATCTAAGTAAGGCAGATAAGAAATTAGAAAGAGAGTACAGGTGGAAAAAAGGAAAGACTAGAAAATATCTTGGGAAAGGAAAAGCAAGGAATAAAAACAAGGACAAAGTGTTTCCAGATTTACTGTGAAAAAAGACTCTAACACTGGGCTAACAATGGTTTTCCTTCCTTTCACTGTACTTAATGAAACAGTGTAACCTACTAATATTTCTCCTTTCTAAACACTCAAAATTTTTTACAGAACTTCTACCCTAGGTGGCATTCTTCCTCTTTTTTGCCTATATTATCTAAATTCTATCTATACTGTCATTTGAGCCTTATTTCTTTCCAAAGAACTTTTCCAATCATTCCAGTTTGTAATTCTCTCTCACTTCCATAAGATCACACATTTAAAGGAAGAAACAGGTCTCTGATCTCAGGTTCATGGCAGCACTGCTAACTAACCCCAGCAAATTTCAAAATTCTTCTCGACATTGCTATTGCCAATTCATCAGAAATGAAACACAAAATGAAACCTGTCTGCTATTGAAGGTGTTTAAGCCATCATATTTCCTAATTGAAACAAAACAGCAAAATAATGACTAGGCATTAATTACATGTAAAGCACTGTAAATTCTGAAGTGATATGATGATGAATAACACATAATTCTTGAGTGTGTTTCTAATGGAAAGGAAAACATTTTATGGATAATTTTTTAATGACATCAATCAGAGGATATATATATATATATATATATATATATATATATATATATACACACATACACACACTATTATTTCTTAACATTTACTGATCTGGCAGTTGAGAGCAACATTTAAGGCTGAATGTCTAAGTTGGGTGACCTTGAACAAGTCAGGACACTTGAATCTCAGTGACCTTCCCTGAAAAATAAAGAGGAGCTAAACAAATCCATTGAAGTCCTGCAATTATTTTCTATAAAATGTTCCAACCAAGGCAAGAAGAACTTCCATTAATATCTTTGAAATTTTATTTAATAAATCTTTATTTGTCCTATGATTGACAAATCTGCCTAAAATAAGGATATACTAGTTTAATCAAAACATTAAAACAGACCTCAAAAATATGACATTTCTGCCCAGCAGAATAAGTAAAAATGCAATATAACAGCCCTAAAGAACACCTTGTTTTAAAATGTGGTCTTATCTGTCAGATTATGCACAGCAATATTATACAGAACTATTAGTGCATGTAGATACCCTGTGAATGAATTTCAAATATGCATCAAGCACTTGAGAAGGATTTAAGCCCTCTCAGAAAAAATACTTAAGAATATGCAAATACCTTCAACTGAATCAAGTTGAACAGATGTGACTATCCCAAACAATACAAGTGTTCTTTCCCTGGTCGCTACTGTCAATCAAAGAATAAGATTAAGGTCCAAGGTTCTGACAATGTGCAAAATGAAAAAGTACAATCAGGGAGTATCAATTTATTACACTGATATGAACAATAATCTCTTATTGTACTTTGGAATAGCTAAAACTTCTACATATAATATAGGATTTAAAGCCCCAGTTTTGAAAGCATGACATACAAACTGTCATGTATCATTTTCAGTTTTTGTTAAATCTCTTTTACAAAGTATGACTTTGATCCCTTAATGTAATCATTTAATGTTGCAACAAAATAATCAAACTATAAAAATTAAGTTAACTTGGAAATAAGCATGATTTTGAAAACTATTAATGGGCTGGGGATGTGGCTCAAGTGGTAACTCACTCGCCTGGCATGCGCGGGGCGCTGGGTTCGATCCTCAGCACCACATAAAAATAAAAATAAAGATGTGACCACCGAAAACTGAAAAATAAATATTAAAAAAATTTCAAAAAAAAAACTATTAATGATTCCTATAAAAATCTAGGTATTTGATAATTAACATTCTGTCAATTTCATTTTTTAAGGACAATAGTTATATAATTTTTTTTTCTGCTGAACTCAGGTTTTATGATTAAAAATGTTCTAATTATTTGATAAATCAAAGTTTTTGAAACAATAGGTAATAAAAATCTACTAAATTCTAAACACAATTAGCTGAACCATTTAAGCAGAGGTTTTTAAATTTCAGGGTTTATTAAAAAGCAAAAACCAAACCAGGGGAACTGGTTAAAAATGTAAGCATATTTAGATCCCACTCCTATAGTACAACTAGAGATGAATCCAGGCAGGAATCTGCTGACTTCTAATAAGTAACACCCATCTCAATAGTACCAGATGATTCTGACCCAGTTAATCTAAAATCACATTTTCAGAAATACTTTCCAAAAGGAAGTGCTAACATAAAATTATTTTAACATAAAAAATCACATTTTTCATAACTACTCATTGTTATAAAAAGCCTATATTTTTCTATTTCTGTGAAATCCTGCCTATTAGAGTTGGAATCAAATGAACCAGGGTTAGAATGTGGCATCAGCACTTATTTACTTTAGCAAACTCTTCATATATCTAACCTTCAATCTCACATTCTCAAATTGGCAAATATTTAAAAAGTTAAACAATACCAAATATCCATTAGAATGAAAAACTATGCAAAACTCTTTTATACTTCCCAGTGTGGTGGTGCATGCATATAATCCCCAAAACTCAGGAGGCTAAGATAGTAGAACCACAAATTTGAGACCAATCTCAGCAATTTAGCGAGAGCTTATTGCAAAATAAAAAATAAAAAGATCCAGGGATGTAGCTCAGCTCAGTAGTAAAGCATGCCTGGGTTCTACCCTCAGTATCAAAAACAAAACAATTCTTTCATTCTGCTGTGTTGTATAACCATCACTACTGTCTGTTTCCAGAACTTTTTCATCAATAACTTCCACTTTCCCATCCCAGAACCTGGTAACCTCTATTCTTTCCATCTCCATAAATCTACCAGTTTCTCAAATAAGTGGAATCACACAGTATGTGTCCTTTTGTGTTTGACTGATTTCACTTAGCATAATGTTTTAATTCTATAAAAAAATCCAATTAGGATTTTGATTGGAACTGAATTAAATATGCAGATCAATATGGGTCCCTGGACATCTTTGCAACTGAACTTCATTATTATAAAATAGGGTATTTCTCTCTACCTATTTAGAACATTAATGTCTCTTAAAGTTTTATCATTCCCCCCTACACAGATCTTGTACATTTTTTCCTGGATTTATTCCTCAGTATGTTGTTCTTGTAACAAATCATATTGTCTTTTAAATTATATTGTTGAATTATTTCTGGCATATAGAAAAGCAATTGAATATGCGAGTAGAATTTGCATCTAAGCAATCTTACTAATATTCTTGTATTAATTTGACTACATAGTCCTACATATTAATTTACTATATATTCCTATATTAATTTTACTACATTCCTTTTGGGTTTCTATTTTGATTATATCACCCACAAAGCCAGCTATTCATTCCATGTTTCCAATCTTTATTCTTTTTTTTTTTTTTTGATGGTACACTACTGGCTGGATTCTTCAGTATGATGTTGACCAGGTATAGTGAAGGGGCCATTCTTTATTTATTCTTGACCTTACAGGGAAATGCTTTTGATTTTTTATTGTTAAGTTAGTTGTTTACTAGAGTTTTTCCCTCTTTAATATTACAATTTCCTTTATATAATTAAGGAAGCAACCTTTTATTACTGTTTGTTTTGAAGTTTTAATTTTATTTCTAATTAAATTTATATAAATGAGTATTTATCAAATGTTTTTTCCTCTATATTTCTGGAGAATGTAAAGTTTTCTTACTTTTTAATCTTAATAGGTGGTAAATTAATAATTTTCTAAAGTTATGGAAACCCCACATTCCTGGGATACACCCAATGAAGTCATGCTGTAGTATGTACTGTCTTTTGTATATTAAAATATATTTATGGCTTTGGATGCTGCGATGGTTTGGATGCAATTTGTCTCTTAAAGGTTCATGTCCTGGAAGCTTAGTCCCCAGGGTGGTGGTGTGAAGGTGGTAGAACCATTAAGGGATGAGGCCTTGGGGAAGGAAATTAGGTCACAAAGGCTCCACCGTCATGAATGGATTAATGCTATTTCATCATTCTGTAGATGTGGATTAGTTCCTGCCAGAGAGCATTGTAATAAAAGAGGCATCATGGGCCCTCCTTGCTCTCTGCCTTCTTTTCTCACACTCATGTCTTTTCTGTATTTGAGTGTTTCCCTTTCCCCTTCCCAGCCATGTTGTGATATAGCCAGGGGACCCTCACCAGATACTGCATGATACAGTTTGGAGTTTTCATCTACTAGAATTGTGAGCCAAATAAACCTCTTTTCTTTTTACATATTTATATATGACCCAGCCTCAGATTTTTGTTAAGCAACACAAAATGGACTAAAATTGATGCCTAATATTTTGCAAGAAAATTTTTCATGGGGAAGATAGGTCTATGATTTTATTTTTGTGCATGCTGCTTGATTATTTATGTCAACCTGATAAACTGAGCCATTTTCCTTTTCCAGAAAGACTTGGAATTATCTGTTCCAAATGTTTGATTGAAGGCAGTCACTGTTTCTGGCCTACCCATACACCAGGTAAGCATATTCCTTACAGTTCTGCCTTGTTATTTCTCTTACTAGGAATGGTCTTCTCATAGGCATTATATGGCCAGCTCTCCAATTCCTTCAAATCTTTTCTTA